CACACACACACACACACACACACACACACACACACACACACACACACCAGCAGCAGCAGTACGTCCTGCACAGCGGGAGGAGAGGAGGGGAATAAAAGGCAGAAAGACAGTGGGGCAGCTGTCAGGCTGTCGCGGAGTGCTCCACCTCCTCTGTCCAGGGCTGGCGTGGTATGAGGTAGACAGAGCTCAGCTGAGACTGCGGTAAAGCGCACCGGGTCCTGATCCACGGAGCCAACATGAATCAGTCCCAGACTGAGCTGACTTGATCAAGTCCCTCTCTGCCTCTGGTGAGGAGGGGGGTGAAAAATCCTCCACCTCAGACCGTTTAGAGATGCCACTATCTGCGATACTGTGGTCACTCTCCATGTAGCATCAATTATGCTAATGCTAGCTGCCTGTCATGTTCTCTCATCCTGGCCACACCTCCACTCTCTAACCCCCGCATCTGGTGCGGCATGTTTAGAAGCGTTTCGAGCGTTTTGAGCTTTTGACGTGCGTCACACGCATTACGTGCGTTGAAAGCTGAACTTTTGCAGCTCGACACAGAGCGTTACCCAATCAGAGAGACTCCTATGTGATGTAGTGGCATATTTTCCAATGGGACGGTTCCCTTAATGATGCACACTAACCGGAGACAGATAAACTGGAGCTCTTCAGCTAAAATCGAGTTCCTGTAGTCGATGTTCTGGCAGGAAATGTGGGCACCGATGTGGGTCAGCGTCTCATCAATCGAAGCCCGGGACAAAAAAGTTCTGAAAGCGAGTCTTGTTAGCTTGCAGCTCCTGGGTGATGAAACTCACCAAACTCAGAACTCCTGATTAATTACCAATGAATTATTTGGTGAGTGTGACATGCTGTTGCTTGCTCTCAGTAAATAAAGCAAAGCTACTTTCTTAATTTCATCTGCCAGTAAACAGAGACCAGCAGGTGAGGCTCTCAATGCACGTCAAGAGCAAGCGTCCAACTTAAAGCATTGGCCGTGTTTTTGATGCTCAAATTGCGTTCAGTGTGAACGCAGCATTAGATCATCAGGGGGACTGGAAGAAGAGTTTGTGCAGAGTTAGAAAATGGTAGGCATTTAAAAGATCATAAAAAAAGACTTATGTGAGAAGTAGGATTGAAACCTAAACCTGCAGAAGAGACTGCCACCTTAATGCAGTGCCTTAGACCAGTGTTTCCTAAAGTTGGGGTCGGGACCCAAAGTGGGGTCCTAAAACATCAAGGTGGGGTCCTAAAAAGATTTTCTGAATTAATTACATTTTTGCCTTAGTTGTTACAAAGGAGTGAGGTTAGCATATTTAAAATGGACAAATGTAGTATTAAAAATATTGTTACTATGCCCATGTTTTGTTGACCTGATACAAATGTTTATCATCCAAAAATAGTTGGGGGCACAGGTCTCTGCTACTGTTATTTTGTGGGTCAAAAGCTGAAAAGTTTGGGAACCACTGCACTTTGGTTCCCAACGTTGGGTTTGGGACCCAATTATGGGTCATGAAGCACCTTGGATAATCTCCAGAAATCAATTCAAATGGTAATAAAATAATTGCTGATGTAATATTTTCCCTATAATTATTACAAAAACACAAAATAAGTAAAAATAAGTATTTATATTTTTGTATAAGCTGTTTAGATTGTCAAAAAGCCTGTGTTTTTAGGGTTATTRACGAAGTTYGTGTACTCAGACCAGTAATATTTGGGGTCACAAGTTTTTGCCATGGATATTTTGTGGGTCAGAAAACAAAACGTTTGGGAACCACTGTCTTAGAACACTCTGCCATCTGCTTCTTAGCATAAAGTGATGCAAAACAGACTAAAAATGTTAGCTGTATGAATGAAAGTAGTCAGTTTGATCTATGTAATACTTGATTGTTCCCTTCACATTTGTATTGATCTTTCAGTTCTGCCCAAACTGGATACTGTCATTAAACAAGGTGTGCACCTTATGAAACATCTTTGGCTTTGCTGGTCTTGACATGGAGGACTATGTTTTAGGGTGAAACATGGAGTTAAAAATAAGAAAATGTTAGAAGTGGGATTTGAACCCTGATCTCCAGAGAAGGCTATAACCTTAGCTCAGCTCCTTAAACCACTCAGCCATTGACAGAAAGTAGAAAGAAAGTAATTTGTTTGTTGTTTTTCAGTATTGGACCCATGTAGAATCCGTATTTTCTCGATCCGTTTAAACGCTGATGATGTGAGATCTGTGTGAGTCATGGACCAAACAAAGCTCGGTTTTCTTACGTGCTTCAATAGAGTACTTTTGTTTTCAGTGTAAAAGATGTTTTTTTAATCTGCCTACATTATGCAACATACTGCTACTAAAGGTTATAGTAGACTTTTCAAAATCAAGGTGCATGTTTTGATGTTTTTTGACAGATTTTCCAAAACTGCAGGCAGAAGCTGTACGAGAGGCCAAAAACCGAGGAATAATCACTGAATAATTCAACGCAATAATATCTTTAATTACATCAGGAAAATGAATCACATGAGTAATATGACACAAAGGCTTAATATGCTGTTATATTTTTAATTAATTAATTAATTAATTAATTAATTAATTAATTAATTAATTAATAATTGAATAAATTAAAAAAACTTGTTTTTGTGGTTAGTTTACTTCCTGTTCCAGTTTCTGTAAATGATTCAAGCCATCAAAAACGTTCCAAAAAAACTGACCTGTTACATTTTAATGACCATTAAATTTTAAATTTTAACTTCAGTACACCTTTTTTCAGGTATTATATATGTGTGACACTGCTGATCTACTTTCTGCCCCTGTGCATTATGGGGTGGGCCTACATGACGATGGGCTTCACCCTTTGGGCAGGTGAGATTCCTGGAGACTCATCTGAACACTACAGGCAGCAGCTGATTGCCAAACAAAAGGTGATTCACACACACACACACACACACACACACACACACACACACACACACACACACACACACACACACACACACACACA